TATCTGAATACAAGACTTAACAGTAGTATCCTGCTTCTTTTCTTCTCTATCAAATATTAACATTAGAACAAAATATCTTTCTTTCACATTAGACACCATATTCACGTGCAAACAGTGCAATGCAGCCTTATACACTGACTGCAGTCATCGGTATATGTACATACATGTGTAATTAGCAGTGCACAATGATACTCCAAATACTGAGATGCTAGCAAACTAAAAGTACTGTTCGCTTCATTTCACAAGAATTCCATAACTTCATAAAGTCTTTGTTACCTGCTTTTTTAAAATGGCTCATATCTTGAAGAAATAATCAGGACTGCTTAGAAAAAAAAAAAAAATCAATGTAGACAATAATAATAAAAGTAATAAAGGCCTGAAAATAAAGCATTAATTTCTGTCATCAATATAAACACCAAAGAGGCAAAGTCATTACCATCGTGCTTCCCTGATGGCCCAGCCATGTACACAGGTGACCTTCGGCGGTTTCCTCGTGGAGATCTTGACCTAGAACGGGACCTGGAACGACTTCTTCTATCACGACGCTCTCGCTCCCTCTCTCGGTCTCGTCTGGATGGGTCTCGTTCTCGAGAGTGTGACCTAAGTGCAAAATTTATTTTTAAAAAGAGAAACAATGAGCAAAAGCAGAGATAAAATAAATTAACAGAACAGAGAGAGAGAGAGAGAGAAATCTTTTTATAAATTAGAAAATCTATATAAAAAAAAAGAATATTCATAACAGTGGAGAGAAATACTGTCTAAACAATCAGTCAGATTAAATTAAAACCACTTGCTAAATACGTTTTGGTAAATAAAGAGAATTTATTTCTTGATGAAGGCTAATACCCTAAATATCTTATTCAGAGAGCATTCTTTGAAGTCTGGCCAGAGGGTTGGGGAAAGCAACATCTTTTTTTTTTTAGGTATTTCTAAGGGGAATAACTATTTTTTAAACCTAAAATTCCAAGAATTGTCTTAAAATGTGCATTTCTTTCTCATTAAAATAAAAACACTCCAAAAACTTGTATAGTTTTTACAAGGACTTAAAAAAGGTATTGAATTTTATACATGAAAATGTGACATCTATGCAACTTAATTGCATTTTCTTGCTTTCAAGTTATGGTAAAGGTACCATATGTAATAGGATTTTGCATAAAAAAATATGGTCTATAAATGACAGAACCCCCTCCATGTTGGAACCTACAACCTAATCTTAACTATAAAAACCAGTATAAGTTTGATCAGTCATGAGGTATTTATAATATCACAATGGTTAAGCTCAGGTATTAGCACTTGCTTTATATATCTTTTCATATATTTGTATATCCTTTTCCTACATTTTAACATTTTGGTTAATGTTTACAGACATGGGTTTGTTGTTGTTGTATTCTAAAATGTATTATATAACTTTCTTTTTTTAACCCAATGGTGCCAGGGAAAATGAACAAAAAATGGGGAAAATATTGTGCCCACTTTCTATGTTTTTCGTGAAATGTCTGCCGATAGATGGCTCTGCTAGCGCCTGATTTAAATGGCGGGAAAAACGTATTTTTCACTAGCGCTATGAAAATCGATGGTGTTATTTTTATCATAAACATTATAATTTTTATATATTTTTTTTACATTAGTAACAGGAAAATAAGATTACGTAAAATATTTTGTAAATCAAAGAAACGGGTAAACGGCCGAGACGGGCAGTGCTCGGAACTGGCTCATTGGGGAGTTAGTACAAGTGTTGCCATCTATGCGTAAAAACAATCAAACAAGTACTCACGGTGGGCATAGCACGTACGTACACGTCATACCCGGCACCAAGGGGTTAAAAAGTAATTGGCCCCTTTATTGTCAGAAAATTTTTAAATTACATAAAACAATCATTTTGGGGTGGGGTGGGGACCTCAACTGGGTTTCCTGAAGTCCACCACATAATCTAGAGGCTTTAAAAACGGAATGATCCCTCCTGCCAGAAAACAGGTTTGTATGACTTTAGTTTTGAACTAAAAAAGAGGACTATCCCTTTTTCCTTCTACAAATTAAATTATTTTGCAATGCTAAAGATGAAACTTAACTTTGGTAATATAATTTCTTTTAGCAAGATATTTAGGCTTGTCTTTGAAAATTATTCCACTTTTCCCCAGTTGACTGTAATGAACAGTGGAGCATCAGAACTTAAAGGTAACCTATTATGTACAAACGAGAATAGGGAAAACTTTCAGTAATATGTTCAAAAAAAGAAAAAGAAAAATCTAATGCAATTGCATACTCATGATTATTCATTCATACACCATGTATCTTACCACATACCAATGCACACACACAAAACAGATCAAAAGCAAAATGGAGTCCCAAGTATGTTTGAAAGATGCCAGACAGTATCAAATACTGCTTTACCCTCTAAATGGATTAAAAGCTGATACTTCATTAACCCCTATGATCCGGATGACATAACCATCACATCAGGAAAAAATCTGGCTTGAAGTGCAGGTGATGTGAACAATCA